CATACTGGACGTGAAGAAGGGAGCAAGTTGCACGTGGGAAAAAAACGCGCATGATTTAAATGTCACACCTGAATGCTCACATCCTTTTAATTATGTTTGAAATTATGAACATTGCTCAACATCATGAAAATTAAACCTTATTTTCAATAAGCAATCCTGAAAAATATTTGGGGGTGCTTAACTTTTTTCCAGGTGTATATTTTCATAATGTTCACGGTTAACAAATTTGAAAAGTAAGAATAATAGAAAATGAAAAGACTGTTGAATTTATAAAGATATATCAAATAGGTCAAGAATTTGGATACAGAAGTAGTTGAATATGAGTTTTTATTCAAAAGCATAAATATATATATAACAATACAGTGACTGGTATATTGAAGTCATTTATATCCGTGAAGAATATGAGAATTGCTTTTTAAGGATGATATCAGATTGCTTATTTGGCATAAACACAAAATTACTGTAATATGAATGGTAAAGGTGGAGAAATAATGTTGAAAATAAATGCCTTATTAGCACAGTTATGTGCTTTAGCAGGTTTTTTTTTTAAAAGCTCAGGACTTAAAACCAGTGCTTGAAATAGGGAAAAGGAGAATGTGAAATGGTTTGTGAAAGTTTTCAAACTGAGTACTATATTTCTTGTTTTTCATGTGTATTCTTTATTTATTATTATAAAAGGCAGAGGGATGGTTTTGGACCCACCTGAAAAGAAGTGTGATGGCATCCTGCCCTACTTCAAGCACTGCTTAAAACTGAAATCAGATCTAATTTTGATAACATATACACAAAAATGTAAATTTTTTGTCAGTTTAGAACAAAGGTCACATTCAAGTTAACATAACAAAATAAAATAGATGAAACAATCTTACTTTCACATCTTGGAACTGAACTACTCCAATCACCATTTGGAAGGCAAAAGATTTCTTTTACACCAACAAGTTGATAGCCTTTATTGCATTCAAAATTTATGCTACGTGGAAATTCAAATACAAAATCCAATTTTCTGCCATGCTTGGGATCACCAGGATCACCACACGTCACCGCTGAAAAAATAAATTATGAACATATTTGAAATGTTGATAATAATATCTATATGTTAAAGAAACATTATATCTGTATTGAATTTTAATTTCTACTTATAAAATTTATAATTTTTAGTATATGATAAATTGTTTTTCTTTTATATTAACAAATATAAAAAATAGATTAAACAGGAAATGAAGTTATTGGATGATAGCAAGATGTGTAAAGCTGACTAGGTGATGGAGAGAATAGTTTCTTTACATTTCCATGTGTACAAATGAGTAGTTAGAGTAACAAACTGGTGTTTACTTTTTAAAGGTTGTTGGGCAATGAAAGTTCTGGGTGACCCTTACATTGTAACAATTGTCTCTATTTTTAAAAAGGAACTATGGAAGAATGCTGGGAATTATTAAATTTATTGTTAATTTGACACATTTTAAGCAAGTTGTTACAGACAACACAGAGAAATATCCCATAATGTGTCACTTAGTAAATGATTCTTTCTTTTTTTTTTTGCATAACCTAATGAATTTATTTTTTACAAGGTTTAGACTTTACTGACTGAGGATATTGCTAGGGACATCATGTATTTTGACTCTCAAAAAACTTTCATAATTAAGATTTTTCCAACAAATAGTAAATAGGGATATTCTCAGAGTTGAAACAAAATCTGTCTGAAAGCATCAACACTGCTTACACAATCAATTCTCTGTAGCTGACCAAGTACAAAATTTGATCACTAGGGTAAGGAAATATCATAGCTTTGTGTGACAGTTACAGAGAAGCTTTATATTCAGAGTGATTTTGGATACAAAATTAGCTAATTTAGATCCAAAACAACATTAAAGGTCTGCACCAACTGTCAAAGTTTGGCAAAGTCATCAAACAACAGCTTTATCAACTTCACTGTGCAGACAATGCAAGATGATGTAGTGCAATCTTCATGAATTCTTATGGGTCAACAGGTCCAATTACCATAGCAGCATGACTGTTTAGTAAAATTTCCATCTTCAAGATGTCTAGAATGTATAGTAGTTACAAGAGCAGGGTGATGTGTTGTACTGTCATTAATAATCATACACTGTGATCAGAATGAAGCAACTAGTGGTTGTCACAACTCTAATGCAAAATATACTTTGGACTTTCATAATGTATGCAACAATTGGTACCAAAAGAATGTCACACAAAATAATAATGTGTGAAAGTGTTTTTCTGGCTACATTCATTAAAAAACATTAAAAGACAAAAATGGACATTGTACCACGTGTATTGCCCAGTGGAAAAATTGGCCATATCAGGGTAAATGCTAACAGAAAGCAACAGGTTCTCTCTTTACAAAAACTTGCCCT